AGACGTCGGCCGTGAACAGATCGACGATGCGAGGCCTACGTTCGAATGAAGCTCACCCTTCTCTACGTCCTGCAAAAAACACAATGCGTTGTATTCTCGACCTGGACGATTCGACGGGACTATATATGTATACCGGTTTTATCGATCTGTTATCACACCGGTGGCTATAAATCAGTTTCGAATATAATTTGCTTTTGAATTTCTCGAGATATCTATCTACGAATCTATCGAGCAAGTTGTGCTATACCGTTTGCTCTTGAGAGCAGGCTCTTGTAGGGACTGTGGCTATCGATTATCGGTATCTTATTGATGCCTTATTGATATCTGACGGTATATCGGTAATTTTGTTAAGGAAGATGAAAGGATGCATGAAATTTAAGCGAAGCAGAGCGCAACGAGTACTACATTTACCATTGTACGTTCTGATTTAACAATTTCTAAATTAGCAATCTCGTATTTGGAAATTTAGAAGTTCTTAGATTTAAGAATTCAGAGGTTTAGAGATTTCGTATATTAGATTTGAAAGTATAAACATTTGTGAATTTTGAAATGTAGAAACGTGGAGATGTGAAATTTTGGAAATTGAAAGATATGAGAATTTGAAAATTTAAGAATATGGAAATATGAAAATTTGAAGATATAGAAGTTTAAAGTTTTGAAGATACAAATTTTACAAAAGTGATGTTTCATGCAACATTTTGAATTAAAAAATATTTTAAATTCTGATATTTCTATGTTTAAAAATTTATAACTTGATAATTTCTAAACCTGAAAATCTAAATTTGACATTTCTGAATTGTACTCTCGCGTGAATGGTCAAATCCGATCTATATCACTTGTTTACAAAATCAAGAATGTTAATACATAACCAAGGTCGCCAGATATGCTTTGTACCAATGTTTATATATCGAAATTAAAATCGTAGTATACATAAATATTGTCTTAATTAAGCTCATGTTAGACCCCAGTCATTATAATACAAAAAACACCCAGTTTGAAAAATAATTTAGGAAAAGAATAAACTGGTACTAGTAGTTTAAATATAGAAGGCAATTATTAAGTAATAAAACTGACACAGTTGGAATTACAAGTTGTCTTTCGTTTCCTTTTCTATGTTTTCGTGGAAAAGGTAGATAAGAATGAAACAGGAATGAATAAAATAACACTGCAAGTTTTAGCATTTCCTGTTAATGAACGAACTACTTTCTGAGCTAGTTTGAAATAGTTAATTAGGCAATACTCTGATCGGAATAGTTAGAACAGTTTTGTGTATAATTTAAACTCCAGCTTTTAGGGGAACTAAGAATGCTGTAGTAACAAAAATGGACTAAAATTTTTTATTAAATTAAATATGTTATATCAATATGTAACAGTTAGCAAAAGACATCTAATAATTAGAGAACTAATTAAACTTCATTAAATTTTTAGACGATTTATTTTATTTCGAAGTTTAATGTAGCATTACAAAATTGAATTTAAAACATTAATATTTTGATTATATTCCCAAAAATTTCTATTTTATTTTCTAAACACGTACGTGCACACAGAGTATGCAACAGTTATATTACAAATTACTGAATAAATGAGATAAAGATTATGAAAAATTCCACGATTACCAACATTAAATTTCCGATCACGTGGTACCGCGTGGGAAATCGCTAGTGTTTTAATGTATTGGCATACAATGCCTAATTCCTATCCCTTATAGTTTAAATCTGAGTTAATTTTAATTTTACTTATTTTAGAGTGAAATATTAAAATAGCATAATAACATAGTAAAATGTAGAAGTAATAAAGTGATAGAAGAATAAAATAGTAAAATAGTAAAAGAATAAATAATTGAAGTAGAAATACTGTCTGTTGTTTTAAAAGTAAATTATGATAGACAAAGAAGTGAAGGCTATTTGCTTAAATAGCAAATAAGATAGCTAGTAAGTAAGATAATAAATAAGCAAGAAAAACAGGGTAAAGTTGTAATTATGAAGTACACACCAAAATATTACATATATACAACTGTAACTATCAATGGACTAACAAACTATTCATTTTGATAATATCCAATTCATTATACTAATATTAAAAAATATTGACCTACTGCAAATATACTGTAATATTTTTACAAATATTACTTTACATGTGTGCTAATGTGTCTATACTTTCTACTTTCTCCTGTAGTTTCTCTCAGAGTATCATCTTAGATACAAAATAATCAACAGTAATACATTTTTGCGTGTCTGTAATATGAAATTTTAATATTGATTGGAATTATTTACCTTTGACATTTCGTTTTTATTCCACAAAAAAAATCATGTTTTATTCATCGTAATATATATCTGTATCATTTTAATCTATGTCCATTCTTCATACATCATTTATTCGGTCATGTATTTTTAATTGTGTTAAAGTTTCATACAAATGAGGTTTACGACATGACGAGAGAACTGTCACTTTTGAACCCCATAATTTAGTATCCGTACCATCTGCGTGCCAGCACTACGATGGTACGTGACAATTTGTAGTTTTTAGCAGATCTGTTTATTGCTGCACTAGTCTTTAGAGTTTTTGGCTTCAGTGACACAGGTCATGTCATAAATCTCACAGCTTAGAAGGTCAAAGGGCGATCTGGCCCTTAGAAGTAACGGGTCCCGCAGACCGGGACTGACGTCATAGGATTTTGGAAAATCCCGGATTCTCCCCGGAATGCCGTCCTCCCCCGTAGGAACTTCTGTTCCCCTTCCAGAAAAGTACCACGCTAAGGGCGCAATGGAAGGGAGGACAGAGGTGTTAACGAAGCTAGAAGATGACAAATTAGACAGATAGCTAACAGTATAGATAACTAACAGTTCAGAGTTAAAACAGCATAGATACAGAATAATACAGAGTTCATTGAATATAGAACACAACTAGTTTAGTACTTATAAATATTCGACACACTGGAACACACACACACATAACCTCCGTTTACACACACACACACACTCACGTTTTTATTAAAAACTATATTTTTAATACAATTCTGTGAATGTTTCTACACGGCCTCAATCCGTAAAAACATTGGGTGGTCCTTCGACTCCAATAGACTTTAGACGGCACGAAGTGCAATAATCAGGGCTCGACCAAACCCTAACAAATTGACTTCTTATAAACTTTGTGTTTATCTGATTTAAATTGTAATTAATTTAATTCAATGAAACAGTTTAAGAAATCCTTTAGTATGAGAAATAATGTGACTCTCATTTTTTATATAACAGTACTATAGCAGCATGTATGATTATATTTCTGTTTTCATAAATTTTACTCAGTAATATAATTCATGAATCAACAAAGTATTATATTCAATATCTACATATTTATTGTTTTGGACTTTGTTCATAAGTTTGTAACATTAATACCGTCGGAACAATGGGCAGTAAAAAATTTATTGGGCATAATTTTTAATTACCAATGGTCGGTAAAACAGCTTTACTATAAGATATGATTGAAATATTTAAAAATTCTTTCTTGGGTAATTGTATTTACAAAAAAGTGCATTACATACTATTATTAAACTTTCACATGTACAATTAATATTTACTAAATATAGTTAAATGAATTCTAATACAATTTATTATCAAGTTCATTATAAACAACTTATGTGTAAACTTATTATTAGAACCTGATCCAGTTGAATTTTTTTACAATATGCATATGTATGAAATATTAGAATATAAGTAATAAGTGCATTATAAAACACCATGCACTGTTTGTATTCATATTTGCTATACCTATTTATTAACGATTATTTTTCATTTACCTACTTAGTCAGTATGCTATTATATAACATCTATTATATCATTCCATTTATAAGTGTTCATACAAATTTTATTGAATTATTATATCTGATATTTACTTTAACTGTTTTTTATTAATCGGAGATTCAACACACTATTTACTGATTTATCTAATGTTTTATATTAATCAATGTAACTTACAGTGTTATATGAATGAAATTTTA